ATTATCCACTGATAATAAAACATATTCACAGCATGCAGAAGGAAATTCCACACTACCTCCTCTTTTCTGTATACTTAAAAAGGAAGGTTTCAACATTAACATACCAGGATTACATACAACAAAACAGTTATCAAGCAAGAATTATACTTGCAACATTTAGTCCATTTATATTTGACAAATTAAGAAAAATATTTATCCTATCTTTGTGAGTTTAAAGTTTTATATCTAACCTATCTTTTATATTTATAAATATCTTTCTTCAACTCCATCAAAGACTCCGGAAGGATATATTATTACCTAAGTAAACAGAAAGTGAATTGTAAGCAAGTTCCAAAGTTTAGAATTGACAGAGTCATCCTGCTGCCTGGACAGTCACCCTAAGGTCTTTTGTAACATTGGGAAATCCATTTTCAGCCTACATGCCAGTAGCATCAGGCAGACATTCCATGAAGCAGGAAATTTAAAAAGCTGTTTTGCCTATCTTTGCTGTTTGTTAGTAACTTTCTTCTGTATTTTGTAAAATGTCTGGCACACTCTTTTATTAAGCAGGAATCCTGAAAGGCTGTTTTGCCTTCTCTAGGCAAGTTCAGCAGGCATATTTCTATGGGTTCTGAAGGTCCTGGTGTGAGAGGTCCTTCTGTCTATGTGTTGCTTTTATTGAAAAATGAATAAAGAAACTAGCCTGGCCTGTTGATAGGGTAGAACTCAGTCCAAGCAAAAGCAGTTTCTTGCCCAAATGTAAAACAAAAAAAAAAAAAAAAAAAAAAAAAAAAAAACAAAAAAAAAACAACCCTCCATAAGAAGCCTTTTCAATGCCCATCTTCCTCTTGAAATGAATTGGTGCTGGCTGGAGTAAATGTGTCTCATTGTTATAAAAAGTCCTAAATTTTTATTTTTTTTAATTTTGTATTCTGTTAATATTTGAAAGGTTTGAAGAACAACTACCCATCTGAAATGTATCTCTGTACATCTAGAAAACCTAACTAAAATGACTACAAGCTTGACTATTACAGATCTATTAACCTGCATTTCTTAATTATTAATGGGTGATAGAGTGGGAAAATCCTCACCATGAAAAAACTCCTAAGTATTTATATGTCTTGAATTCAGATTTGACTCTGCTATGCATAAGCTCTATTCTAATGTTGCTTTTACTCTTCAACAAATTACTTACCAGTGTACCTTCTGTTGATTTGTTAGTTACTTTTCTTGTTGCTATGACAAATAAACCTGACAAAAGCAACCGAAATAAGTTTATTTTGACTTATGATGATCCAAATGGTTACAGCAGATTTTGCTGAGAATCATGGAAGCAGTTGGTCACATTGCATCAACAATTAGGAAGCAAAGAGTGATTAATTCTGATGATCAGCTCACATACATCCTTTTTTGCCTTTTATGTAGTCAGGATCCCCAGACCATAGGAGGATGATGCTCATATTTCAAATTAGTCTCACCTCCTATCTTAAAATTCCCTGGAAACACGCTCATAGAAATGCTCAGAGGTATGTCTCCAAAATAATTCTATGATTTATTTATTAATATATTTTATGTGTGATGGTGTTTTAGCTGCATGTGTGTGTGTGTATACCATGTATGTGTGTGGTGCCTATGATAATCACAAGAGAATATTGGACCTCCTGGAACTGGAGATTATACATAGTTGTAAGCCATTATGTAGGTGCTAGAAATCAAGCCTGGGTCTTCTGTAAGATCACTCATTTCTACAGAGCCATCCCTCCTAACCTCTTATAGATGATTCTAAAGCCCATCAAATAGAAAATAAAATTGGTCATTACAATTGGCTCCTAGGAGTCATATGAATGCTTAGTAATAAAGTCACCAGAGTACTTTCTGCCTCATTTTACAAGAAGTACATAATTAAAGACTTTGTTGGTAGGATACTAAAGTGACCTAAGATTTGTATTCACCTATCAAAGCAAATCTAAGTTTTAGAATGTTAGTATCTAGCACCATCAAACCCATTTTTACGTTTCTCTTTCCAATTCTCATAAAGGCCCAAAATTTGAATTTGAAGCTTTTACTAAAAGCATTTTTTTCAATACAAAAAAAGAGCTTCCAACAAGTCAGAAATTAATAAATGGATTTGGATACAAGCTTCATGGCTATTCCATTATGAGATAAACTAACAAGTTTCCCTCTTGAAAAAAGCTAAAAGAGCTCTAGCGGTGTACGGAAAATCACACCTTCTTTCCAAGATAATCTTTTGCAGATCTGGCAACATTTATGTGGAAGATTTTTCCTGAAATCAATACATGAATCAAAAATAAACTAGTAATCTTTAGAGGGCATATCATGAAGAGAATCATTCTAGGCTTGCTTTGATTTCAGTATGAACTTCTGGAGAAGTTCAAACACTGACAAGTTGTCCCAATAATTAGCATGTCACTAGATTCACCAATTAAAACGTTTTTGGGGAAACATTCTGTAGCATCCAATCCCTTCTGCAATTCTGAAGAGGCAAAACCTGAAGAAAATAGAAGAAATGTACACATCGAGATGGTACACTGAGACTCCTATGGTTCCATCAGTCAGAAAACAGAGAGGAAATGTAGACATCGAGACGGTACACTGAGAATCACATGGTTCCATCAGTCAGAATACATTTTTATCACAGAAAATATTTATATCTTTACCAAGTAGTCAATCAAAGAAAATAACTTTAGCAAATGAGAGACAACAATTACTTTTAAAAGGAAATTAATAACAGAACTCAGGTACCATCAAATCTTGTCAAAAAGGGTACTTTATTTAAATATTAATAGCTATAGATTTGGAGTCATTTAAATTCTCAACTGTACTGCATTAAACATTCCAAATATAAAATACTGGTTACCAAAACTGACACAAAGCCATAGATGAAGAAAGATTTGATTGACCCAAAATTAAAAAAAACATCATTTCCTTTAATTTCCAGAATTAAAAAGGGTAATTCAAGTGGGTAAAATTATATGTGTTCATGTATTTATATTTGTATGCATTTGTATATGTTTGGCTGTGTGTAGAATGTTTTGTGTATATGTGATGTATGCTTGACTGTGTGATTCATTTCTTGGGAACAAACATGTATATTCACCAGAAAGTTTATGAGAAGATATTCAGTCATATATTTATGATATTTGATACATTCCGCAATTTTCAAACTACAAGATGGAGATCATGACAGGCCTTCCTTATTACACTTGGGAGGCCTGAAATACCAAATACAATGCTGTGGGTTCCATGCTCAACCTGAAAGGCAGAATGCAATGATTTAGATTTCAGGATGTGCTGGAACAGCAGATTCAGGTTAAGAATTTTGGGTTCAAGCTGAAGATGTGAAAAGCAAAAAGCTTCCACTGGCTCTTATCTTGACCTCAGACTGAAATAGCATTCCTGCATCGCAGAATCTCAGAATGAAACTGTGTTGAGATCTGTTTTTCTCTAATTTTATAATCCTTTCTCGGGCTAGGATTAAAGGCAAGCCTCATCGTGATTAAAAGTATGCACCACCTAATTTCTATGGTAACTAGTGTGGCTACTGAGATTAAAGGTGTGTGTCATTGTGGTTACTGGGTCAGTGTGACTGTTTTATTCTCAGATCTTCAGGTAGTCTTCATTTATGAAAATACAATTGAAATGCCACTACAAGTACTGGGTGCAAGATCTGAAACAGACCAATTCCTGGTTTAATCTGACAGTGATGGGGGAATCTTGTCCTATATCTCCTCATTTTATTGCATCTCCAAGTGGGTTGATAGGTACTCATCCTGCAGAGGGACCTGTGCTGTTTTAAGTCTGAGATTCTAATACTAACCTCTCCTTGAAACATTCTCAAGGCACATGCAGAAATAATGATTAACCCATTATCTGGACATTCTATGGTTCAGGTGGGTTAATGTGCTGGCACAGAAATAAAATATTTAGCTTCATAATGACTTGTTTGAAATGATTCACCCCAAGATCAACAAAGTTTCAAGTGCTGGGGTTTTTAATTGTCACATAAATTCTGGGGTTTTTAATTGTCTCTTCTAATTCATTTCTCTCTCTGTGTGTGTGCATGTGCTTGTGCACGTGCACGTCTGTGTGTGTCTGTGAGTTCATATGCACAGAGGCCAAAGAAAGATGCTGAGTGTCTTTGTCTATTATTCTCCACATTATTTCTTTTGAGGTGGGATCTCTTCCTGTAGCTGGAGCTCCTCATTTTTTTTTTGTGTGTGAGGCTAGCAACCAACAAATGTCAGTGACCCTCCTTTCTCTGCTAATCAAATGCTGGGTCACAGGTATACAGTATATATAAAAGAGACCCTGCCTACATTATTATGTGGATGCTGGATCTGAACTTAGGTATCCATGGTTTTACAGAAAGTACTACTAACTTCTGATTCATATCTCTAGCACTAAATTATCTTTTGAACTTGCAAGCCTGACATGGTCATTATAGTCTTAGTTACTTTCATATTGTCATAACAAAACTCCACTAAAAAGGCAATTTATAAAAGAAAGTGTTTAATTTGGAGATCAGCGTTCCAGAGGATTAGAGTTTATGACTTTCATTGCAAGGAGCATGGAACAAGCAGGGAGGCAGCCACTGGAGCAGTATCTGAGAGCCCCTGTCCTTGTGTACAAACCAGAAACAGAGAGCATACTGGGAATGGCCTGAATCCTTTGAAGTCTCAAAGTCCAACCTCAGGACATACCTTTTCCTAACCCTTCCCAAACAGTTTCCCCAGTTGGGTACCAAGTATTCAAATATATAAGTAACATATTAAGCACTCTCTTACATTTTAAATGTATATCTGGCTGCAAATATTTTACATTAATCAACCCTTAAGTTTACTTTCAATTTGTTTTTAGTTATTTTTAAGGCAAACCTTAAAATTATATACAGAATGCTATATAACAAGAAATATAAATTGGTCTCTCCCTCCAAGCTTGTCCCTGCAAATGCATTACTTTTTTACTTATGACTACAAACATGACTCTTACCACATTAAAGAATTTGACCATTTATTAGGTGACTGGCCATTAACTTGTATGTCTTAATTATCTTTAGCAGTTTACAGTGTTAGTAGCATTTATATGACTAGGATTTTATAAATTTATCCCTGTTGAACATTAAAATTTATCATAAATATATTCCACAGAGAGACTGGGAGCCTTGTTTTTTCTGATTTTTCCCTCAATTGTTCTACCATAAAGAAAGAAAATAAGAATGTTTTTCTTTTTCCATATAAATGTGAATGATCAAACATAAAACAACATCTGATTTCTCACGAATTATCCATGGTTAACTCAAAATATTCACCTGGTATGACATTCACCTGTCAAGAGGAAACAAAATACATTACACAGTTATTAAGTCAGGTAGGTGGTGTCATCCAGACTTTGCCCTTTTGAACCCTTTCTGTCTGACAGTAAAACCAATCTTCATAGATGATGTCATATATACAGAAATGCTTATCAGAAACAGGAGAGGCATGGAACACAAGTGTGTTGATGATCTGACTCACGTCACTGTCTCGTTTGGACTTTCTGCTGAAGACTTTGTCTCCCACTGCAACAATGAGCTTATGGAGGTTGTCCTTTGGATGATGTTTTGAGTTTCCACCCAAAATAAGTAGCATCCATCAACTAGTTTTAGCAAAATCTCCGCTCTTTTGAGGATGCTCTTCTCTGTGCCTTGCTCTTGTGACTATTTACATGCTTTGCTGTGCATCCATTGAGAATCCTGAGCACACACTTCAAAGTAATTTGAGCTTCATCATCAGAATAGTAGCATGAGTTACTGTGCTGTCAAATGCAGCACCTTTTAGCCTTAAGAACTATTTCACATTTGCTGAACATTTTCTGTTTTTCTGAAGCAAGTCCACTACCTGTAAGCACCAGCAACCCATTCTTACACTGTCCAGCACTTATGACCACACACTGACTAGTTGATTCCTTCTCCTCTGGTAGCAGCAATGGTGATCTTATATTTTCATTGCCTGTATAATCCATAGGTTATTTTTAATTAAATTTGTTCATTTATTTTACACCCTGACCACAGTTTTCCCTCCCTCCTCTCCTTGCATTCCCTCCCCCATTTCCCTATGTCCCCCATTTTCCTTTTTTGCTGTTCTGACATAGTCCAGCGGTACATTGGCATTAGGAAGCAGGAAGTCTTTGGTTGCTACAAGCTGTGAGTACTAAGAGCCATATAGTGGCCTTAACAATAGCTATGAATCCAGGAAGCAGGAGGAGAGAGCTACTGGTTGGCTTGGGATTTTGAAATGCCAAAATCCACCCTTAGTGACACACCCCATCAACACTTTGGCTAACAAGGTAATACCTCCTTCTCCCTCTCAAGTAGTACCACTCCCTGTTAGTCAAGCATTCAAATACATGAGCCTTTGGAGCCATTCTTATTCAAAGCATCACAGTAATACATTGAAGAAATTCCATTATATTGAAACCAGGCTACAAAACATAACAATGGATGTAAGAATTGGTAAAGGTAGTAAAAACATACAAAATCTATTTTTCTCATTTTTAAACTTCTTTAAAATCAAGTAGTGTAGCGAGCTGCGTGGTGTCACACCTGATGGAGATGTATAATCAACTCCTGAGATGGCTAAGGCCTGATCTATGCTATGATCACGCAATGATTATCAGCTTCCTGCATATGCGTGAACCTATGGGCAGTGCCCACCTGGCAGTTTGGGGTTGGCAGCCCATGCCTACTTAAGGGCTGGGAGAGGTTTGCCCAGGGAGAGAGAGGGTAAAGAGAGGGAAAGAGAAGGAGAGAGAGAAAGATTATTGTGAATAAAGTCCTGAAAACTGCTGCAAGAAGAGCTCCAGATGTTGCGTTTTTCCTTGCGGGACGAGGGTGGACGTGACAAAGTAGGCTTTAATTCACAAATCGTAATAAAATGTTAGAAGATACAGAAGGAAAATATATGATTGCATTATCAAGGACAGAGGAGGAAATGAGAGAATGTTATTGATATGGTCATATACCCCATGAGCACTTCAGGGAATCAATCTCTCTCTCTCTCTCTCTCTCTCTCTCTCTCTCTCTCTCTCTCTCTCTCTCTCNCCCTGCATGATGAATGAGTTGTTTGCTGAATTTCCTGTCCCAGAGACCCTAATTTCCACATTTGTCTGGTACAAGCATGATGCACAGACTTACAGGAAAAAAAAGTTCAAGGTCACATACCTTCCAAATCCCTCGAATTTGTGCCAAAAACTGTAGAAAAGAAACAGTAAAGGGTGAGGACACAGCTCTATTGGATTACTTACATTTGTATATCTCTTGCCTTCCAATTAAACATTATCAAAAACCCTTCAATGGCTCATCTACCTGACCATGCCATCTTCTTGCATGATTGACTCCATTCTGTTCTTCTGCATAGCCTTTTTCCCTTGGACCTCCAGCTACAGCAATACTAATCTGCTTTCTTCTGTTCCTCACATACATATAGGTCTATGGGCTATTCCTTCTTCCTGAAACGCCCTTCTCTAATTTATGTCCCCTTCCCTTCTCATCATACCTCCTGAGCTATAACAGTGTCTTCAGTGGTGATATATTAAAATTCAATATTACCTTATAGCAACTATCAAAAGAAAATCTAGATATAATTTACAAGTCAACAATGGACATAAAACTATATATCAAAATACACTGTTTGAAAAACAATAAAATGAGGAAAATAAATGAAATTAGATAAAAGAAACTCAAAACCAAAGGAGGAAGTTGGGTTTCAGTGACTTCAGGTCAAAATTAAACACAATCACATGTGTTCCAAGTGAAAGGCAGTCATGATCAGAATGCTAGAGAAAACACTAAGCTATTCACTGTTCATAAAATTTGTACTTAAATTGTGTAACATCCATACTTTGAAATTCAAATAACTGAAAATATTGTACAAACAATCTCTTGTCTACAAGAAAGAGTCATATGAGGGCTAGGGTAAAAAAATGATGGTGGAGTTCTTGTCAGGCATTTGTGAAGCTCTAGTTTGTGTTCTCAACAGCATTGAAAATAAGTAAATAAGAAAAATGCCAAATAGATGCTATTGGTTACCAGCAAAGAAGAGTTAGGTTAAAGGTGTCAGAAGCGGTAGGGAAGAGAGTATTGCTTTATACTATCACTCATGGTAGCCTGAGAAAACCTCTAATAGTTCAGGGACTTTGACTTGGATAAAACTAGATCCTTGATTTCCATCCAGAATAGGATTTCTGGATGAATCAGTATGAAACATAGTATAGTTTATTATTATAAAAGTATTTTATTGTAAATATTAAGATTGCTTAGGAAAATGGCAAGAATACCCAGGTTGAAATGTGTATACATTTCATAGAAGAATCTTCATTGTCTTCATAATTGTCATCTTTAGGATTTTGGCAGGTTTTATTGCCATTATCATCAACGTGTTGCTAAGAATCTTTAATGAGATCCCAATGTGTGGGGGGGCACTTGATAGAATTGCAATAGATAAGGTTAAGTTATGGATGAGAATGTAGGTTATGTTCAATGTAAATAAAGTTAATAGTTTTATTTGGTTTAGCCATGGTTCATTGCTAATGTCATTAATTGTGTTGGAATTCTTGATTCAAGCGGACTCTACAGTGAGGGTTCCTTTCCTACTCGTGTCTAATTTCCCATTTCTCACCTGCCACAGAGGAACTTGACCATCTTTTAAACATTAATTATTGACTGTCACCAGGTCCAGGGTCTTCCCATAAGAAAAGTTGTTTACCTGAAGCTGTACTAAAGACATAGGAATAATTCAGCCTTTGATAAGATAATGCACTCTTTCTTACTTGAATTCCCATCCCACTTAGCCCAGTTATTATGAGCTATTATGAGATTCTGTTGGGCTGGAGTTATGACTCAAATATGAACATTGTTCTCCCTTTCCATTTTCATTCCAATGTTGGCCAGAACCTAACAATGTTTACTCTAGGTCCTGGGATTTCTTACTCATTCTCTAAGGAACATTCTCTGTTCCTCCCATGTGGCTGTTTAGCATATGACTGACTTCCATGTTGGGTTGATTCAGAAAAATGGCATAGCTTTCTCTCTCCCTCTTAAGCTTCTACCTATGAATGAAAGAATCTTTTATTCTCAAAGATACTCCATGATTCCCATGTCAAAAGAAGAAAAAAATAAGGGTCACAAGAAAGGGAGAGTTGGTAACTATCAGTAGAAATCAATAAAATTGGGACCTATTTAATAGTGGAAAAGATAAAAATCAAAAGATTAAAATCCAATCAATAATATGAATAAACTTAAAATTGGTTTATGAAATGATCATGAAATTAAAGAAATTAGTAGCTAAATCATTAAAATAAGCAAGGAAAAAGTTATTCCACTTAAAATAGAGAACAACTGTTAGGGTAAGGGTTGCTTGTTCCTCCCAGCTGCCCAGCTAACTTAGACCTGAAATAATCACACAGAAGCTGTATTAATTAAACCACTGCTTGGCCCATTAGCTCTAGCTTATTATTGGGTAACTCTTACATATTAATTTAACCCATTTCTATTACTCTGTATATCACCACAAGCTCGTGGCCTACCAGCAAAATTTCAGCACATATATCTCTGGTGGCTCCATGGTGACTCTCTAACTCTGCCTTCCTCCTTCCATCATTCAGTTCAATTTTCCCTGTCTACTTAAGTTCTGCCTTATCAACAGGCCAAGGCAGTTTCTTTGTTCATTAACCAATAAAAGCAACACATAGACAGAAGGACTTCCCACACCAAACAACAGAAAAGGCAAACACCATTAACAGGTTAGGTTTAACAGGCAACTTTTGATGGCACCATATTCCAGATTGATCAATAGTTCTTGGTTGTATATAAATAATTTCCTTAGCTTCTTTAAATAACAATTGAAAGTAGTTAAATAGTAATAAAATCATTCATTTTTTGCTTATAAGGAAATGCAAAATTTCTACTGGCCTTGTTCATACTCTCGCCTCAGCTGACGTTCAACTTAGACTGTCTCAAATGGCTTCAATTTGAAGACTGAGATGTGAGCCAGAAACACTCTCTGCCTGCTAGGAATATTCCACTCCCTGTGGGAGTGCCAAGGAGAAATATAGGATTAAAGGAGTGCTGCAAGAACTTTCATGTCCTGAGGATAAAAGAGAAATCTGATAATTTTGACTCTATCACAAATACTATTAAGTTTCCTTTTTTGTATTTTAGATTCTTTCCATTTCATCAGCAATTATTTCTACTAACTTATTTTCTGATTTTCTAGTTCTTTCTTCTAACTTCAACTTTCTGTGGAAGCTTAGGCTAAACTCTTAAATTTGGTGATTTCCTTGATTAAAATAATCTCATCAAATATTTCTTGAGCATATTTTTTCTTCAAAGTTTTTACTTCAAAGTTCATGCCTACTAACTCAAAAAGTAGAATACCCTTATGTTTGTTTCTAAAATAGGTATATAAAAGTTACTTAAAGAAAGGGTCTAACTATAGTGGTAGTGAATTATTAGTAGTTGATTTGGGCCAAGCATAGCTAAGGGAACTAACAATGATGAGACATTAGGAATAATTTTAAGAAGAAAACATATTAAAATTGTGTGTTGTCAAATTATCCTATGGTTTGTAAAATTATATATTTTTCCATGATGCAGGATGGAACCCAGGAACTTGCTCATGCTAGGCAAATTCTCAACTACTTAACTATGCTCATATTCTTAGTCATAAATTTCGCAATGTGAAATTCTATTATTCACTATAACTAACTTCTCATTGATTTGTTATAAAAATATTAAATATTTGTCATGTGAATGTGTACTAAGAAATCTCGTAATGAAAACCCAAAATGCAGCATCTGCCTCTAGAATTTTTAGTCTGTTGGTAACTTCTTTAACTTTCGTGGTCCTTTGGGCTTTCTAGCTTATTTACCAGGGTATGTATATATAAAGTTCTTTTCAAAGTAAATTTTAAATGCCTGGAATCACAGTGAATTCCCCTGTTCTTGGAGTCCTTTTAGTTTAGTCTCTGCTTTCAGATTAAATTATCTGTTTTTCTAATGGTATTGATACCATATTCCTTGAATTACTAATGAGAAATTCCATCTCCTAGACTCCAGACTCTTTAAGTAAATGGACCATGTCTTACTAACCATTTTTTTATAGACTCCAGTACTTAGGAGAGTGTCTGTGTGTCATAGTAAGTACATATTTATTAATTAAATCATTATACAAATGTGTCATTGTAGTGTTGGCAAAATTATACTCCATGTTTTAATATTTTACCAAATAATTTACTAGACTATTTACTTATATTAGTCAACTTGAAGATTTCCATATCTAATTCTAGCTTGTGACATCTATAGTAATCTTTGCTCATAAATCTTATTATCCAGCTTATTAAAGACAATGTATTAAATAAGAGTAATTAGGCTCTTAGGGAGCGTGTATTGCTTGTTCACATATGAAAACATGACTAGAATGTGTGGGGTTTTATTATGATTGCTCAGAAGGTTTCTTTAATCAAATCCACATTCAGGAGTTAAATTCCGAAACACAGACAATAGTTTACAGAAACCTAACTTCCATAAAAACTGGGTATTGTAAACACTTCTACAGAGAATGACCACAACACCAAATATGTGTCTCTCTGACAAATGAGTTCTGGTGTTTAGGACTCAAAAGCAGACCGCTGTCACAGTGCCACTGGGGGGTCTTCTAAACCGGAGCAGATGGTAGTACTTATTTGACCATCAGATGCTATTCTGAAGTATCAGTTGGCCAACTAGTTGGTGGACATATGAAAATAAAAGATTTATTTAGGGCAGGAATATTCAAGCCCAAATGTTTATCCACATAGAGTTTAAACTGATATAGACAAATTACAATCAACAAATTACCAGGGCAAATCCAGTTGAGGGTATGGTGTAAAGCTCCATCCTGAAGATGAATGCATGGCTGGAAAATATTTCTGCAACCAGCTGGGCTAGAATCTCTTCCATGCAAGCTTCCCCTGAGATATGCAGTAGCCACAGGCATATTAACACGTGCACACACCCCAGCAAATGCATTCCTACAAGTATAGTTGCTAATTATTCTGAAATTTAAATAGAACACCACTTAGGAAACAGCTGGGTCAACTGTAGCTGTTCTGTGGAAATATTCACAGCATGTGTTGGTGTTCTACATCAGAAGAGCTTTTCCTGGCTCATCTTTAAAGTAGCAGCTGCAGTTCTGTGTAGCTTTTAGCAATATACAACTCTCTGGGCCTTCTGAACAGTTACATGGATTACACTGGTTAGATCACAGACATGATTCATTAAAATTAAATCTAATTAATTAACACTCTGCTTGCCACTGCCTATAATACAATTTTAAATATTTTCATAATAATGATATATATATATATATTCATTACATATAGAGAATAAAAGCTCATACTTGTTATTTAACAGGCTGCTAGGACATTAGAAGCTCTTTGTATAAAATAAACAGATTCCCATTGTGGTGTAGGAGGCTACTTGTTTGTTTCCTGGCCACCTAGCAGCTCAGACCCAAAATAATCACACAGAAACTATATTATTTAAAACACTGACTGGACCTATGATCTAGCTTCTTATTGGCTAACTCTTACATATTAATTTAACCCATTTCCCTTAATCTGTGTATCATCACATGACAGTGGCTTACTGGGTAAAGTTTCAGCATTTGTCTCTGCCCAGAGTTACATGGCTTTTTTTGACTCTGCCTTCATTTCTCCAGCATTCAGTTTAGTTTTCCTTACTTAGCTCTGCTCTACCCTATCTCAGGCCCCAAATAGCTTTTTTTATTAACCAATTGTATTCACAGGATACATAGGGGAATCCCACAGCACCACTATGGGCATACTGAACCTCGACATAGGAGAAATTAATCAAATTCTTTAACTGAACATCACATCGTAACCCTCATTCTCCGGAAAAGTAAAGTAAGCACAGACTCCCCTAATGCATCCACTTATAATTAATAGACTATATTTAATGTATTAATGACAGCTGGAATAAATAATATGTTCTCAGAACTGGAAGATAATCTGGGTTTTAAACACTTTGCATTCTTTAATTTAATCATATAACAATGCTACATATACAATGGCCTTATTTTACTGATGTAGAAACTGAAGGTCATGGAGTCTAATGTATTTACTAAAATAATAACATACTTACTATTGCTAAACAAATGAAATAAGGCAGAGCTAGTACTAGAATCTTGGCAGATTGGAGTCAAAGCTTATTTGTCATTATCATTTATTTTATCTTCTTGATGATTGAAAGAAACATCAGGACTCAATTTTAATTCTGTTAGAAAAACATGAAATTACCACTAAACATTATAATGTTCCAAGACTCTCAGTGGATGATTAACATTATCATCCTCCTAAGAACTCATGAAAAAAAATAGTTTTAGGAAGATTGAGTAGCACAGGTTTTCAGGCTCTTGTTCTGTTCTTAGACAGAATAGACAAGAAAACTGCTAGCAGCAGAATCTCAGAAAGCTTTGAAAAGGTAAAAGGCATGGAGTTGGTTGCCCATTTTTTCTGACATTGTTATTTATTCTCACTTTCATCTAATAGTGTGAGGTAGGTAAGTGTCCACAGAGATGTCAGGGATATCCAGGTAGCAGAGTGAAATCTGGTGAGACAGAGGTGTTGTGTTACTATAATGAAAGCTATTTTTTATGCTGGAGCGTGTCCGTTAAGGCACTCTTAGAATTTATGTAAGGTATTATAGAGGAAGTTTTGATAACTTTAAA